TTTGCATTACTGCAAAACAAGGTAATCAAATACTTCCCTACCTCATTTCTCTATTACAGTGTTTTCTTAAGAACATGAATCTTACAAAAAATTTAATCTCGAATGCTATTTTCATCCTTTCTTACGACAAATTAATACGTGTACATATGAACAATTTCATCTAATTTGCTCTTGCATGTTTCAGAATAAAACTAAATACATACATCACTTTCGATTCTTTATGCACATAGTGCAGCTAGGGAGATTTCTGTGGTAATAGTTTCGCTTACTTTCGTTCCTCCAGTAGTTTTAGTTCCACTGCCTTGACTTGTTTTGAGGTTAACAATGAAGTACAGAAAACAATTGAACATGCAAATAAAGTGTTTGGTCAAAGTGTTGATCTTCAGTATAACTTCTATACAAGTTGTGGACAGAACAACAGCTCACAGCCAAACATTACCACCAATCTCTTCAATTTTAGGTTTTATGGATTCTGCTGAATCTTCCATCTAGAACCCAAAATATAATGCCTTATATTCATCGCTCTTTCTTTGGTTCCATTTCGCAATAGAATCATTTTGCAGAATGCCACACAAATGTGGATGTTGACCACATTCTAATATGTAAGCTCAAAGAAGGTACGATAATCTAACTCTAACATTAGCCGATAATGGAAGATAGTTAAACAAACGGAAAACCCAATTGTAACATCAATAGAAAATGGAGCCTTAGAATGATAAAATTACTATACCACAGAGTCGCAGATTTAGCAGTATGAGACCAAATGTTTCCACTCAAAGCTTAATCACTTCAGCTCTGCTGATGTAGCTTCATTTTGAGAGCTTTCACAAACAAATTTGTACATTAGACAGTTATAGTAGTCCAATACTCATGTGTATGTATATCTCCGTTTCATTCCACGCAATTCTTTATGGTTTCATCTGATAAACCTCTTCAAATTTTACACAAACTACTATGAAAGCTCTTACTTTATTGGCTATTTTGTTTTTTTACAGGAAATAAATAAATCTGGTCTTTCTCATTGTTCAAATTTCCCAAAAATACAGAAAAAACAAATGCAGTTCAGGTAACAATGTTTTTTAGCTTACATTTGAACAACAAAATTTATCAATTAACGTGCGAATTCTTTATAGCTATTAATATATCCTTTTTCATGATTTACACCTACCATACAAGTGACATTTGCATATGCTGCCACAATCTTTATCTTTATGTGTAACTTACTGTCAATATCAGTCTGTTGCCTTATTGAGTTAGGTGATTTGGCCTAGCAAAATGTTTTCACTATCATATGCCTGAAATCCCTTTATATCGCTACAAAACTCTTATAAATAGTTGAACCTAGACATTAGTTATTATTAATAGTCAAACTGCAAAGTTCCTGATACACTTTCGTCCAATATTATTTCCACTTAACTGTAGCTGAGTTACATTAACTAAATCACAAAATTATGAGTACATACATGATAAATACCATAGTGCCAACATTCTGTACAGATACATTCATTTTCCATCCAGGGTGTAAGTGTCTTATACAGTTTCTTACAATATTACAACATTGCAGTAGCTAAACTCACTATAGTTTTTCTTTTGCTCTCTTTTCATTCCTCTTTAGAAAGAACTTAAAATAAACCCACAAACATTACTATCTACATAGACAATATTACCGAAGCGTGTAAACTTATCAACACAGGTTCAACTAAAACACAAATGAATACACATGTCGACTTCATTTTATAACGTGACTAATTGACACCTCATCTTACGCTCTACCTTACGTTTACAATGTTTATGGCATGAATGCTGAAAAAAGGCATACCATCATTTGAAAATTTAGAATTATATGGTGCGTTCAACTTTTGATATCACATTACTATCCAACACAATAACAGCTGAAAGAAGTGAGGGAAATCTGTACAATTAATTCAAATTTCGAGTCCATAGGTCCATAGGAGTAATATATATATATAAAAGTACAGCTGTCTTTCTCTTAAAAATTGATGGGGTTTTGGTAGGCAATGAAATTGTGCCAAAAAAGAGACAAAATGATTACATTTGACACTGGAAAGCAAAATTTGAAGAGGCTTTGGTCTAATTATATAGTGATGTGGAATTGTTTTACGGTTACAAAAAAATTCATATAGTGTTCAACGTATTTTATTAATTTTGATTTTAATTGATCTATTCTTCTCTTTGTGGTCTGCCTTTGTTTTACAGCTTCTTTGGATAAATAAAAGATCTCCATCTAAAATTCAACTAACTCTTCCTTTAACTTGCGACTTAATATTCATGTTATCCTGCAGATACTACTATTTGGTTAACTATCTTTCCTACAAACATGGTACTAAGAGTGAACATCGACCAAATAGAACCAGCAACACGAGATTGGATTTGCAAAGTTCAAATTGTCGAAATAGGCCGCCCACGAGAAAGCCTTGACAAGAAATGTACATTCCAAAATTTAATTTTGGAAGATGAAGAGGTCAGCTCATTATTATATTTTACGTTATGACTATTGCTCTTTTCCTCACAACTTAGTTAATCTCAACTTTCTGTAACTCTTACTTTCAGGAATGCCAAATTAAGGCAGTTATGTACACTGACGAAATTGCGCAGTATGCAGCTACGCTTAAACTCCTCAATACCTACCTCATCTCTACTGCAAAAGTGAAAGTCTCACCAACTTCATACGGCAAACCAATACATAATTTTTACTGGATTCTTGACAAAGAAACAATAATTGAACAAATCAAAGCATCTCATGAAGTTGAAAAACCACTTTCACCGCCAACTAAGCTGAATATCACCAGCTTTGACCGCATTCCTCATCTGATGGTTGATTCTGCTGCTGAAATAGGTACATCCATCGTACTAGCTGTTACCAGACTGAAATATACATCTTTACTGCTGCAGAAGACTTGCAACATTTCATTATGTACTATATACGCAGATATATTAGCAATCGTTCTTCGCTGTGGTTCTCAAAAAATCGCCGGTCGCAGTCATCATAGGTGCCGAGAAATTACCCTTTGTGACAATCAGTAAGTATCATATTTGACATTGTAGTTTCCCATTTTCTGCAAATATTTTTAATGAGTAACCACTTTCTGCATTTCTCTACTCACATCATCAATTATCGTCTAAGCATTATCATAGTACTTACTCTTCTGTCCTTCTGTTCTGACACTCTCAGGAAAAATCAGTTTCTCTTCACTCTATGGGAGGATTTTGGAGAAATAGAAGGACATGAAATTTCCTCAAAAATGGCAACATAGGCAGATCTGCTTGTAATCCTCGGAAGGAGTATAAGAATCTCTACTTATCAAGGTACGTATGTGCTCAACTTCTTACCAACATAATTTTATATAATAACAAAACAATATACAACCTATGTGTTATACAAGGTTGTCACTGCAGACTAGGTACAATTCGACAGTACGTGTAAATCCTAATTACCCACAGGCAGTGGCACTCATCAACTTGTACTCACATTTCATATTTATTCTATAGCTTTACTTTGCATCTAAATAACCTGCTAAACATATTATTTGGTCTAACAATAGGGCAAAAGAAAACAAAACAATGTTGTTAGGTTCTCCATCAGAGAAAACCTCAACAAGCTCATCTATCACTCCCATGATAGTCACTCCTGCTGGCCAACAACTTATCTCTATTGCACAAATCTCATCAGCACCTTCTGTAAGTCATACTTCAACCTGCTCATTTGAGAGTATCTGTATTCATTTTCTGATTCTGTAGCTTTTGCCTAAATGATGAAAACTTCCCACAGATGGGAGTGTTCTATGTTGAAGCAGAGATGGCCATATTAGATGAGTTCCAAGACTTTTGTGTGCTTGAATGCTCAGGATGCAAACAGAAGAAGCGGACAAAGGATAGAAAGGATTTTGAATGTCCAAAATACAATCGG